CCCCCCCATTAAAGTGGCCAATCAGACAATGTCAACATGCATGTACTCGGTATTTTAAGCAAAATGATGAGCTTGTACCTAACCAATCTCGTTATATTTTTATTGATTGTACTTTGTTGGAGAAGCGACTGCCGACGAGCGTGTCGTTGCGATAGGATAATCGATCGTCACGTCAGGGGAGGGAAAATAGAATAAAGAAATGTGGTGAGTACTGGCACGATACAGGTATAAAAAAAGGGGGTATATCCTATAGTGAAGTATTTTAGTTCAATATTTTATGGTTGCGTTAAAGGGGCTTTCCGTACAAATTGTTCGATGGGCGGAAGACACCAGATTTTATCGATTGAATAGGGGTAACGAGGGCTTCAAGCTAATGGAGTTGTGAAGATACATTTCGGAGGTGATGTAGTTTCTTCCCTTGTAATTTTTATTTTTACTTGTTATAAAAGATCTTCAGGATAACAGAATTGAACAGTCGATCATTTCTGGGAATCAGAATGATTTTTAGCCTTCTTTGTTGACTGAAGAATAACCCGAAATAATAATAATGATAGAATGTGAGGAGTGACGCGAATTGAGAAGCAGTTGAACAATGATTCTAACGAGGTAGACGTCGGCCTTTCGCGTAACGATACCGGCGAGAGAAGAAAACAGTCTCAAGTGGCATCAGCGAAAAGATCCCGATCTCCGATACAACAGCCCCTCCTGATACATTTTCATAAACAGTTTACATAAGAAAATGCGAAATCACTTGGACTTTTTTTTTCTCACCATCTCAACAAAAGAATCGGAGAGCATTTATTTTCATATTTATGAATAAGATTGTGTAAAATGGGGGCTGGAGGGGGATTAGGTAAGTCGGTCACGTGCAAAGATGTGGGGAATGACATGAAAGATCAGTGGAATTGTGTGATTCGAGCATCTCTCACCAGTAGATGAATAGGAATCGTTAAATTATGAGAGGATTTCTGGGCTTTCGTGGGGAAACAATTGTTACGGTTGGTGCACCAGAGGTTCCTCTGTTCCAGGTGTACAAGGGAAAGTGAAGGATTGAATGAGCGATCAATTGCGCGATGAAGATAGCAGAATGGAATTTGAGGTGTTACGGGAAATTGGGAAAGGAAAAGTTCATGAAAGTCGAGATTAGGACGAGTGATGGTAATTTTTGAAGGAAAGTTTCGATACAATTTTTGGAAATTTTTATGATGTTATAGTTTCACTGATGTTTCAAGCAATTTGGTCATTGAAAACTCAGTTTCATTATTCCACGAAAATTCAACATTATTTGCCGCTAAATATTCGTTTTTATTAAATTTTCATTAAAATCTGAAATCAGAAAAATATTCGTTTCGTCAAACAGCAGTAGAGGAATTATCCGCCATTAAAAATTTCCCCCTGTCAAGCCTTTTGTTGAAACTATAATGGATTACATAATAACTTAGATATTACAAATACCAGATATATTTCTCACCATTTCCAACGTAACGGGAGATAAATGGACTCCACTTATTCATCTAATTGAATAATTGGAGTTGATCTGATAAGATCAGAGAGTGAATATGTAACTTGAGTCATTTATGGTGTCACATCATTCATTTATTAGGAGCTTATTGCATATTGGTACATTTGTGATTCTTCAGAATGACGATTGTTCGTATCAATTCCCAACATCTGAAGTAACATATTGTTCGATCGATCCATTGTACGACGATTTCTAGATCGTGACGACGATATACCAAATAGCCCAGTCATTCCGTCTAATCGACAGGTTCAAAAATCAGAGAGGGAGGGGAATTTCAATCTCAAAAAATGGAATGTGGAAAATTGGTGGCTTTTTTTCGAGAATTCTGTTGTGAAATGCTGCGAGACTTTCGAGAATTCTTTCTTTCGAGGGCTGATCGGCGAAGATCGAATATCAGATATTGAGTGAGAGCACGGGTACGTAGATATCTCACGGTTAAGATCTTTGGGGTCGCCTCCCCCTCCCTCCACCTCGCGGCAATGTCCATCGGTGCGTCCAACACAGGGTGATTTATCGTCATTAAAATGCGTTGCCGTTCGGGTGGAGAGACCTCGTTGCTTATTCCACGCGTTTCTTTTCTTCTTTTCGGTTTATTCTTCGAGTGGACGTCTCGTCTCCGGGGTCCTCACTGTTGGATAATGGTTTTGAAATACTTTTCCGGGGGAGTCTATTATCATAATACAGTCTTTTTGAGTGCATCTATCATCGTGAATCATTGGGAGAATATCTTTTCAAAGGGTTCTTAGAGCCTTTCAGGAATTAATCTCATCATTTTCTTCGGGTGAAATGATTTTTTTTGTGATTGACAGTGAGACAATACTGAACATGTCGGGGAATATCATATCATAAAGGTGATTTTATTAGTAATGATTTGCCCATTATTAATTTATAAAGAAAACAATTTTCACGATAAACAATGATAAACAAATTTTTAATCATCAGTTTCTGTTATATATTTATAACAAAAAAAATTGGGGAAAGCGGAATTTTCTGAAAATGCAGTTTAAATAACCCTAATTTTTTTTCAAATTCTTCTCATCCAATTAAATTGACAAATTACACTGTCGAAAATCTCTAAATCTTCAAGATTTTTAGATCCTCCCCTTATCCTCCAAAATACATCCCACATCAGTGAAATATTCGATTGGTTCTAGATTTATAACGGCTAGAATGATTTTTCGAAATAGGTAAATACTGAACATGCTGGGGAATTTCATACCAAATTTTATTAAATTAAAAATCATTGGTCTATTAATTTATAAACAATCAATTTTTCACCACAAAAAACCGTCAACAAATTTTCAATCATCGAGATAAAAAAAAAAATTTGTTTTCAAAAGTTAAAACAATTTCCATTATTTATTTATAACAAGAAAATTTCTAGAAACCGTAATTTTCTGAAAATGTAGTTTAAATAACCCCAATTTTTTTTCAAATTCTTCACACTCAATTAAATTGACAAATTACACTGTCGATAATCTCTATATCTTCAAGATCTTTGAATCCTCTCCTTATCCCTAAAAATATATCCGACATCAGTGAAATATTCTGTGGGTTCTAGATTTATAACAGGTTGAGTGAATTGTCGAGATAGCAAGGTACTGAACATATCGGCGGATTTCATACAAAATTTTACTAAATCTAATTTTATTAAAAATTATTTATCCATTATTAATTTATAAACAATCAATTTTTCACCACAAAAAAAATCGTTAAAAAATTTTCAATTATCGGAATTTGAAAAAACATTTCCGAAAGTTTAAACAATTTCCATTATTTATTTATACCAATAAAATTTATAATACCCGTAATTTTTTCGAAAATGTAGTTTACATAACCCTAATTTTTTTCAAATTCTTCTCACTCAATTAAATTGACAAATTACACATCGAAAATTTAAAAATCCTCGAGATCGTTAGATCCTCCCCTTATCCCCAAAACGAGCTCCGACATCGGTAAAATATTCTGTTGACTCTATCCATCATTCACCCCCCACAATCTTACCCTGGAATTTCCTGTCATCAATGTCAAGTCTCAAACATTCCCCTCAAACTTCCTGAAAAAATATTATGCTTTGTCACAGTGTTGCGGTCTCCGGTGTCTGAGAGGAATGAAAAAACGTCTATAGAGTCAAGTGTTTTCAACCGGGTTGGCTTTTAACACACACTAAATTGGTGCAGATAAACCCTCCTGCTCCTCCCCCCTTCCTTCTCAGGTCAACAAACATTTTCGTGAGCCCTGGTTATTCCACATTCCACTTTTGACGTTTACTAAGTATACAACTGTTGAGGGTTTATACATTTATGTAATCTCACTCTCATTCTTATCTTCCGCATCACGATGGTGAATAAACAAATATCTTTACGAGAGATTGATAAAATGAATTGCATAAAGATTTTTTTTCCACCAACACCAAAAAATTCAA